CTCTCTCTCTCTCTCTCTCTCTCTCTCCCTCTCTCTCTCTTTCTCTTTCCACCCATTTACAAAAAGTAGAAGTAAAGGAAAGACAAATACAGTATAAGAAAACGTTGAGAACAGTTAAATGTATATAATAATTGAACGAAATCATCATGTTACACGTGCTCTTGTTTAAAAAGCACACGGAGAAACATGCAACAACTCTACACAAAATATAACAGGTAGAAAGACATGAAAAAGTCCAATAAAATAATATTCAAGAGTAAGGGGTCAGAGGGTAGAAGGAAAAAAAGATCTACAAATTGAATTCATTCATTCATTCATTCATTCATTCATCCATTCATTCATTCATTCATTCATTCATTCATTCATTCATTCATTCATTCATTCATTCCTTCATTCATTCTTCATTCATCCATTCATTCATTCATTCATGCATTCATTTTTTTCTTTCAAGTATTCAATAGTATTCTCTTCCTTTCTAGTCTAAATTTATTTACTTGTTTTTTATTTACTTATTTAATTTTTTATTAAGTTATTTATCCATGTATTCATTTATAACAGTAACTGACCCTTGAACAGGTTGGTGTAGAGCTCATAGTTGGCGGTGTTGACGCCGTAGTCGAAAGAGATGAGGACCTGTTGGGGTGTGTCGGCGGCGTCCAGGCCCCCGGGGATGGAGGAGTCGTCCCAACACCGGCAGTCGGGAGCCTTGCAGTTGTCCCCGGGTCTACACTCCTGTCCCAGGCACGCCGATGACGTCAGGAGGAGAAGGGCGAGAGTTGTTTTGAGCCAGGCCATGATGGGGATTTGAAGGAGCTGTAGGAATAAGGAAGAGATCAACTTATTTTCTGATAAGTATTAGGTAATTACGACAAGTGTGTGTGTGTGTACAGATGTGGCATATATTATTTTGTTGTACGGCGTGCTGTTGTACGGTGTAGTTTGGTATAAATATGCATCATGATTTATGCTCTCTGTGCGGTACGTGCGGTATGCTATTCTATGCTATTCTATGCTATGCTATGCTATGCTATGTTGATAAATATTATGAGACAAGCTGTGTTCGACATTTCGTAAAAACCATGAAGGCAAAATCACCACATACGAGATGAAATGTCTCTGGAAAAACCTTAACATCACAAGCAGAGAAATGAAGAAGTAAGAGCAACTGTTGGCACTGAGTCCTGTCCGCATTTCAATGAACACACAGAATAAAATGTTTTGGCAACCTGTTCCGAATATCACCGAGCCATCTAGCCTCGGGAACCTATAACATCAAGCACTCAGGCTATAGAGAAAGAGGTAGGCCTCGCAAAAGATGGATTGACGACGTTAAGGAAGTCTGAGAAATAGTAGAACAGAAGAGCTGGCCTACCATAGAAAACTACTTCTTTCCTCGACGCTTAACGGCAACAGAGGATGAAAAAGTAAAATAAAGGTAAAGTAAATGCCATGTGAATTATGACCAGCATACGTGAAGAGTTATTGCTTCCTGTGGCAAGATACGTTAGTGTTCTATTGTACGTGTAGGTAAATATGGCATAATGACATATCATGAATATGGATTGGCATGCTATGCTATGCTATGCTATGTCATGGCATGGTGTGGTGTGGTGTGGTGTGGTGTGGTGTGGTGTGGTATGGTATGGTATGGTATGGTATGGTATCATTATGTCTACAAGATTGTCTGTTTAGAGCATCACAAACTTTGCTTCTTTGCGTGGGAGCGTTTAGTTCAAACAAATTAATATTATCCTGAAGAACATAATTGACAATTCATTCAAAGGTTAGAGATAAAAATAAACTATCTAGATAATTCTATTTTTTTCTAAACACCCTCGACAACCAGAGATACGTGAAACATTTCCAGGCCATGTATCGCGAGCTTGTTGATCTTTTATTTCGGTAATGGTGTAAATCACATTGAAAACAAAGTATTCCAGTCACGAAAAGAAATGCTTTTGTTTGTCATAGACGAAAATAAAATAATATGAGGCGTTTTGGTGAAATCATGCGCTCGTCACAGTAAAGAAATTAAAGAAACCGGGTGAAATGAAACTAAAAATCTTTAGAGAACAGGCATTTAAAGTAACAATTTTTGTCAAATACTACCTGGGATCGGAAATTGGGCTGAAAGTACAAGATAGCGTTCAGCTCATGATACCTCGACAGGAAATTAGCATAGCCTGAAAATAATATATTTGTGTAGCAACGTGGTGGAATCAGGCGCTCTTCAGTTTCTGGGCATTGAGTTGATTGGTATAATCTTAAAGTCTGTTTACGTGCCTTGCTTTTGGTGAAGACAAGACATCGATCTTGAACAGAAGTTGAAATGTTTGCGATTAATGGAGATAAGGGTCGCCTGGTGTCTGTCAGCGGTAAAAATAGCGAGATAATGGCTGAGAAAGTTTTGTGACTTGCTAAGCCTGAGCGTCGTTTGAAAGTGCATATTTACTTTGTTTGTTCCTTTGATCATAGCTTTTTTCTGTAAAATCAGCACATAAATGTGTTTGTAAACGGACATAACAGTCGATTAACCAAATATTTAAAAATCTATAAAAATTGCTTATCGGGGGATGAAATGTCGGACCCTTCAGTTTCATTACTTTGGCGAGGGACTGATTTCAGCACAATGCACATATTGTGTTTTCTTCTTAGGCAGAAAAAAACAATACTTGTCTTCTCCTTGTAGAGGTATCAACTTCAACCGGCCATACGTTCATCACATTCTATATAGAACTATATTTTTAAAAAGAATGAATAAATACAAATCCTCATAAAAAAACTAGAACAAAAACAAAAACGAACCAAAAACATCATAACTGCATAATAAACTCATGTAAACAAGCAAAGATTCGAAAAGTGCCGCGAAGAAAAGATTTAACTATTCATAATTTTACAAAACAGCTATTGACATTACTTAACGCCTTAATTTGCTCCTACTCACCTCTGCTGTTATCAGAAACCAAAGACACATCTACGTTGATTGCACTTATATAGGTGTTAGATATCGCATGTCCACACTTACCCTAGGTAGGACATTTTATCTGCTTAATTAATTACTGTAAACACTTTGATTTTGTTTGCGTGGTAAGTTTTTACATGTCGAGCTTCACAGAAATATCTGGTTTAGTTTGCTGTGCCTGCTGAAAGTTGGTTCGTTCGTTAGTTAGTTAGTTAGTTAGTTAGTTAGTTAGTTAGTTAGTTAGTTAGTTAGTTAGTTAGTTGGTTGGTTTGTTGGTTAATTAGTTAGCTAGTTAGTTAGCTAGTTAGTTAGTTACTTAGCTAGTTAGTTAGTTAGTTAGTTAATTAGTTAGTTAGTTATTAGTTAGTTAGTTAGTTAGTTAGTTAGTCAGTTAGTTAGTTAGTTATTAGTTAGTTAGTTAGTTAGTTAGTTAGTTAGTTAGTTAGTTACTTAGCTAGTTAGTTAGTTAGTTAGTTAGTTAGTTAGTTAGTTAGTTAGTTACTTAGTTACTTAGTTACTTAGTTGGTTAGTTAGTTAGTTAGTCAGTCAGTTAGTTAGTTAGTTAGTTAGTTAGTTACTTAGCTAGTTAGTTAGTTAGTTATTAGTTAGTTATTTAGTTAGTTAGTTAGTTAGTTAGTTAGTTAGTTAGTTAGTTAGTTAGTTAGTTAGGTAGTTAGCTAGTTACTTAGCTAGTTAGTTAGCTAGTTAGTTATTAGTTAGTTAGTTAGTTTCTAACCATATACAAGTGAAACAATAGCTTATGTCGAGGTGTAGTAAGTGTGACAATTATATTGGAATGTGGTGTGATTCAGTAAGATATTGTAGGATATGAAATTGCATTGTGATAAGGTGTTGGTGAAGTACAAGTATGCAATCGTATGGAATGGAATGGTGTAGAGAGGATATGATGTGAATTAATTTATTATAAATATCCCCATTAAAAATATATTTGTGAGATTTTAACAGAAAACTGTGCATCAAATACACTCTAAAGCATTTAGTTTTACAATAACTCTGAAGTTACGAAAGTCACACAAGTTTGGCTGCCATTTTGTCGCAAATATTAGATCTTAAAACCAGGCGACCTCCCATCTCCTTCAACAAAGCAAGACGATACCAATAACCCCACAATATGCCAAACATTAAAGAGCGCCTATTCAACCACGTCGTAACACAAAGTGTCATAACGTTTTCAAGTAAATGGGCTGGGTATGGTATAACAGTTTATAGCAAAGTATGCGTTAAATAAGCAACTCATATCACAATTGTATTTATACGGTGGCCTAGTGGTTAGGCTCTCGGACTCGCAACTGTAAGGTCGTGGGTTCGAATCTCGTCTGGGGCCGGACGTTGTGTCCTTGGGAAAGGCACTTTACACGAATTTTCCTCACTTCACCCAGGTGGGAATGGGTACCCGGCTATAGACAGCGAAAGATCTTGTCAGTTTTTTTGTGTTTGAGCGCTTAATCAGCTGCTTGCACTG